TGTTTTAATCATATTGCATACAATCAATCATGTTTTATCAATTTTTAATAGGAAGTATATATACATACTTTGATTTGATTTACATACCGGCCTGTCAAGTTATTAAAAATATATTTTGTTGCACATTAATTATTCTATGTACATACATTTTAATTAGTACATATGCGCTTTAAATTGAAAATGTTAGTCACATGATGTCTATCTGTCTCCCGTGAAGAATACAGCAGTATTATTATTATTGCACCAAATCCCTATTAACTTCTTCACCACCAGACTTTCACGCCCATATTTGTTCTTAAAGTCTTCAATACTTCTGAAAATAAACCCAATTTCGGAGCCAACAGACACAATTTGAGTCGATTTTCAGTTTTTACTCCGGTTATTTTCGTCCAAATCTCCTGAAGAAAAGTGCAGACTATAAACGGGACTTTTTTTGAATTCGTGGTGAAAAGAGGGATCTGGTGGTGAAAAAATGTGTTCATACCACTGCGATTATTGGTCGGCCTTATTACGACAATTTCCTCGCTTAGTGTGGGAATTTAGGACGAATATTTTCCACGAACACTACTAATTTACGTAAATTGTAACACGATTAAAAACACGGTAACCGTGCTTTAATTGGCCAGTGTGTGAACAAATCAATATGACCCGAGGAACTCGGAAGCAGAGACAACGTCTTTCGGTTTCCGTGGTGCAGTAATTTTTTAAAACCGAAAGTTTCACCGCTGAAGAATGTATGGTGTTTCGAAAGCAGACGCACCATATGTGTGGTCCAAACAGCTTATTTCACATTCAGTCGAAAGTGGAATTGTAAATGTATAAAAAAAAAAAAAAAAACACGATCCTCGGCGACTTGAATCACAAGCGAACGTAATACTACAAGAATGTGCCGGGGGCTTGTGTGGGTCAGCGACGCAACAAAATTGAGCGTCGTCGGCCAATTTCTCAATTCGCCACAGCTGAAAGGCTGTGTGTCGCGGACACAAGTGGGCGCGTGGTGACAATTAAATGGGTACACGTTCCCCGATACGTCGCGACACACAAGAAAGAATTTAGAACCTTACAAGATCAAAGAAACACGAGGGGATCGCTTTCCACGTGTCGTCCACCAGACGTAGAAACATACGCCACCAGTAAGATTATACGCGTCGTGCCTTTGTTTCCAGTTAGCAGATCTGCCCCAGCGTAAACGTGCAGCTATTTCATATTTGTTTACTTAAGGTGTTTATGTTTGCTTAAGACGAACAAACAAACACGAGTTTAATGATTGCAGAGCGGCACCACGGGCCGAGTAAACGGTTTACTCAGTAGAACATGTGGCTTCATTTTGTCCTTTAGGATTGAAAGTACAGTCGGAGTTAGTGTTGACACACGCCGTGTAGTTAGATACTAGTATACCATTATTTCACGCTGCGCATTAAACGAAATCACCCGATAATTTAAAATGATTTGCAAGAAATTTCACTGATCGCATTATTGATGTCTCATAATTATATTCAAAAATGCTAATTATGCGATAAATATTGGCGAATTTGCGGATGAATCACGTGTTATTCCAGAGGCAAACTTGGCGGGAGTTTAAAATTTCAAAATAAAACAACGCACTGCGTAGCATTCAGACTCTCGTCATCTAGTAGTCTGAGCAAGTTTTTTTTTTGTTCGCAAAGTTCAAGTTGTAGGGTGAATCCTTGACATTATTTTCCATGAATTACGAGTGATGGATACCAATCTCTAAACATCGCGAACTTTTCCATCACCATACAATCTACAAATAAAGGAGGAGGAAAAACAACACACTTAAAGGTCATTTACTGCCAAAATACATTTGATGGTGTCGCCCTTTCTCTCGCTGTCAATGTGCTTTTCAGGACAGAGTGATGATAATTGAGACGCCGCCCGATGCACCAGCTTACTAACAGAAAAGACTCGAAAGCTATTTGCCGACCTTTGCAGGACGAGTAATACCATCGAATGGAGGTAATTCCATATAAAAGAAGATATTCTACATAACCGATTTGTCGCGCGCAAAAAAAAAAAAAAACGTCTTAATGAATTATTTTCAGAGAGTATGGATTAGTACATTAAGCAAATTTTAAAGTCAACGGTGTGCAATTAAGGATATTTTTAACAGATGATACCGAGTTAAACGATATTTTTTACGATGCTTTTATCACGCCACGACCTCGGGTTAAAAATCCACGGCAGTACTTGCCTATTTGCATGACTTTAAACGCACATGAAAAACGGCAAGGATGGACGGGACGTGAGAGAAAACAGAACCTGACTGGACGAAACTACTCTCATCATAATCATTCAGTTGACATGCATAAAATACGACTTGGAGTTTTCAGTTCCCATCGACCTTACAATTAGTGATCGAGAATATGTTTTCGGAACAAATAAATCACGGAGCCTAAATACGTTAACATGTAATAATTCTATCTATATTCAAATTTATTCCAGTTCTATATGAATATGTCTTATAATATACTAGACGTTGTCATGGCGTTCTCTCAGTACACATGATTTGGTCTCAAATTGCTGGTTTTAAAATCACAGTTAATATTAGTACAGATACCGTAATTGTGTTAACAATGCAAAGAATGATGTCCCGTGATTCATTGGTGCAATCTCAATTTAAATTGGTTGTCAAATCAGCAATCAGAACTGTCTCCTCATCTGTGAACATATTAAACACCATCGGACAACCCCTCCCAACCAAGAGGTTACTGACCTACTGTATGACCATGGGGAGGGAGTGCCCCAGCTCGAATTCATTGTCGGGATAACAGAGAATATAGTAAGTGAGTAGCATGCCCATGTACTACCGGTAGTATATTGAAAGTCGAATCATGTTTGAATAGTTCAGTTTCACCAATTCTCATTATAGTCGAGATTTTTTTGGTTCGTAATTGGACAGTTCGATTTCGAACCTCAATTATGTAATACAACTTGGACGCGAATAGATTATTTTTATTTTACCTTATTTTTTTCACAAATAACACGCACCGATTAGCCAATTAGCATATGAGCATCCAGATTGTGTGTTTCGTGCCACAACAGGTATTGCCTAACTTATTTAAGAGATTACGCAACAGGGATATGTTGGCGCGCCATGATTTGATTACATAGTTCTTTGTAGTGAATATTTGAAACCTGTTTAGGTAGTAATGGATAGAGGATAATAATAATAATAATAATAATAATAATCAATATACAAAAACTTGAATTTTTTTCAATTATTTTGTATGAGTTACAAGTCAAAATTAAAGCCAATGAATATGTATATTCAATATATAATATTAGAGTTTGCCATATTTCTGACTCAGAATGCGTTAGCACCGCCCACCTTCAAATATGCAGAGATATACGTCATCCCCCACTTATCTGCGTCCCCCTTTCATCGCACAAGTACATAATTGCGTCCATTGAGAGGGGTAACCCCCGCCTCCGATTGCCTTGAACACATAGTAATTACAATTTCGACGCTCTTCCCGACTCTTCGATGAGGCTGACTGAGGTACGCCGTAAATGTCTCTCCGCACTAATTACAGACAGGAACATTGGATTTTTCACAAAACCCCCACCCGATTATCTATTCTGCGTCATAGTAGGGCAGATGCAGAAGCAGAAATTTCTCAAAACAAGCCCGGCTTTTCGCCATACACAGATGGCCCGCGGACACACTTTCGTTCTAATATACGCATATTTTTTGACTTTATGGTGCTCAGGAGGAGGATTACGTTTCTACTAAGAATACGGAATGGCCAGTAAGTGTGTACACAAACAAGGCTACAAGACAATATACTCTCCACAAACACAAAGAGCGAGCAAACACTTAAAAGCGAATCAAATTGGTGCCCGTCGTTAAAGTCCACTGTTCGTATAATGAATGGATCGCTCTGTTTTGTTGTGAATACTAGTAGAATAGGCGAGTATGAGTTGACTTTTACTTCAATGCTTTTCCCAGGCTTTATGAACTTTACTGAGAGAACTTGCCGGGGAGACTAGTGGACGAGAGTAGGTCGATGACTAATGGCCGTGGCGGCTTAAAAATGAATCGTACGAGGTTGCTGTATTCACAACGCCAATAATCCCGGTGAATCGGCAATGCCAAATTAGAATCCCATCACATCAATATTTTCACTTAGATTTCCCACTGTACACGTCACGGCATGGAAATGCGCCGAATGGTTTGTTAAAAAATAACAAAAACACAGAATTCAATACTATTGAGTAACACACACAGTATCAAACCAGAAACGCTATAGGCGATTCCATGAACAGCGCTGCCATAACGGTTGACAGCTTGTGCATAAAGAGATCCGTAAACCTGAAACATTACGTTACGTCACATGCTAATAAGAACGGTGTTAATTAAAAAGAATGCATTGACCGTCTTTTGTTAGTTCGTGTGAAATGTACTCTTTGAAAATGTGTAATTTCATTTAAATGAAGAAGAGCGCGAAAACACGAGTATTCGTGTATGCCGAGGCGCTTTTTTGATACAAAAAAAAAAGAATGGGCAAGGGTGCGATCCACTGCGCTCTCAGTATTGTACCAAGAAAGTGGGCGTCTTTTTACCACAACAAAGGAGGCAGTATGTAACTTAAGCGTTTAGAAAAAAACTCTGAATAAGTAGACTTGCTGAGATAAAATGGCAAAAATTGGAAGCGTTAAGCCATCGAAACTACAACGCGAGTTACAAGATTCAACCCAGTACATCGTCAGAGTGTGAGCCATTAAACGGAGTGGTCGTAACAGACCTTAGTTTGGGAGTTCTGTTGGATAATGACACGCTGACGTGAAAAATGACAGGTATTTCAACAACACGCGTGTTGACCAAAGAATGAAACATCCGTTCCAGCTGTCGGTCTGTTGAGAATCTAAGCCAACAAAGCTATTGAGACCGAGTATTTGGTTGCGGCAATTCGTTAGTGCTGGGACGAATATTCAATTATATATTTCACCTATACAGACAATATACATGAAATACTTACGTGGAAAACTCATGACAACATCGGCGTTGTTAATAGCGTTCACCTCCTGAAGCGTGTAGTTGTGTGTTAGATCGTGGAGTAATGCATGACTCGGAATATCCTCCAGTGTTTCGTTATTTTCCGTGGAAATTGTTCGATACAAATCGATCATGAACTTAGGAGCCGAATTGTGCGTTGCTTGTGCCCGTGGCCTCGGTCTATGTTGGAGACCCAATAGCGACAGAATCTCGTGTTGCATGTCCTTCTTTTGCTTTCCGAAAACCTGAAACACTGGGTCATTGAGATCCGAGTGCAAGTCCTGCGTTTCCTCTGCGTACAAATCCCAGGCAGTGGTACTGGTAAATAACAGCCAGCAGAAGAGGACCCAGCGACACCGCATTTTATCCGAACGGCACATGCTTAGCTCCGTAAAATCTAGTATCATGACTTCACACAGCGCGGACCACAATAACTTGCGGGAGGCTGAACTGAGTGGGTTTTTTTGAGATGTAAATGCAATACGGGGTACGTTTGAAAGGACGCTCTGAGTGCCTTATTGAGAACACAAGTACCTATTAGAGTCCTGTTTCCCAACTCGCCGTCGAATCCTCTTGAAAATCGACACAGACTACAACATACAACTTTTAAAAGACTGAGTATCGAAGCAAATATTCACAATAGCTAAACGTCGTTGAATAACCATACGCACACGCACTGGCTGCTCACATACTGGAAGGTGAGTCGCGAAACAATAAGTACCCGGATGTTTCACTGTCCAGAAAACTGCAATTAGGCCCACGTTACTGTGGATGCGTTCCCATGGGGTTTACAAATAACTGAAGTTGTACTTGTACATAAATCAGATCAGAAACGGAACTGTGGTGACGCGGCAATTGTTACTAGACGCAAATGGTTTAGACGTACTCTGGCAAATGGTAGACTTCGACGAACTTTTCACTCAATGTATGACTGACTTCTTTCTAACGGACCGCCCAATCAGAGGCTCCGAAACCTTTACTGTTTGTTTTGTTCCTAAGAGTCTCGGAAACAAATTGATGCGGGGATTCAATCTGTTGTCATGACAGCAAATGACCGACGAAAGGGAAGTGAAATGTGATCTGGGTGGGTATCAGCCCACCAGGGAAGAACAAGTTACTCGCGGAATAGTGCAGTTTAGGTATGAGTTGTCAACTCGGCAATTCCTCTCACCTCTGTGTCAGCGTGCGTCGCTGTTTGATCACTTAATTCGACACGGCTTCGATTGGTCATAACACAAATTGTTAGGATATATGTTTTTGTCAGCGCATCACGAGGCGTATCAGCGACATGACGTCAGACCTTACTGTCGAAATAATTTTAACTCTCGTGAAGACCGTGTTTCCTTGGAAACAGCGAATCTATCCTCGTACCGTAGATAGACTCACTGGTATTCTCACTGGTTTGATATGTTTCACTGATATAAAGCAGGATATTACATTTTTCTTCTCATTTCGTCATATGGGTTTAAGCTCATTATCATCACAATTCCCCTCCCCTTTATTTTTCGAACAGAGGGGAGTGTCCCTTCATAAATAATGAAACAGCTTTTGGTATTACCGGGTATTTTTTATTCAAAAAAAAAACACATGCAAGTTTGACTGGGTATGGTTTAAAGGGCGGTGGTCATCGCACAGCGCGTGTTCGAATTTCATGTAAACAAACAATGTATTTTACACGTGTTGTGAGTCCCACATCAAACAGGACGCGGGGCGACGACCACCACCCTTTAAACGGGAATAGAAGTACTACTTTAGTGTTACCTGTTTGGGAAAACATAAAGTTAACAAACAAGCATTTGAAAATTTGTTCAATCGTGGGACAGCCTCGTCTAGTTGCGTCCATCGAATCGCTAACCGTAAACACACTTCCCCACTGAGGCCATAGGCCGAATAAACCTTAGCGGGCAAACAGGATAGCCGAGATATCACCTATATCTAGAAATTACAATACTAACCGCTCTGCATTAACCCATTCGTGCGAAGAACTTGAACCCCCAAGCCACCGTGGTATTGTCTGTATAAACAATTTTGTTTTTACAAGAGAGAAAATCCACTTGGCAGTGAATTATATGTTTTTAACTACAGGCTATCAACAACGGGGCGCTGGTTGACGGCGACGTGTAGCTTACTGTCGGCCCATTATTTATATCGTGGGATTTGACAATTTGTAACAGAAATACCCACAGTAAACACTGCTCCACACACGAATCATGATGTCATTGCGTTTTGTTCCCATGGAAACTGTGTTGATAAGCAAAAAAGACAGTGAACTGATATTTGACACCAGATTAATGTAAACAACAATTTTATTACACAAATTGTTTTGCTTAAAATGCAAGGATCTGCTCGCACCCCAGTAGAAATAAATGATCTTGCCGTAGATGGCGTGTGGCTAATCATTAAAGAACATGGTCATTACCATAATTGCTGAAAATTTGACATAAACGGATTTCTCCCTAATATTTATCAGGTTCATTTTACCGTTATATAACAGAAAACCGACAAATAGCTACTTTATTAATAATAATATTTAAATGAGCGACCCCATTTATGTACGTAACGTAAAAGCCTGGTCTAAACATTAAAATCCCTCCATGCTTGAATGATTTCCAGTGGCGACCCAGCAATTAATACGTTCCGTGCGCTTGTTTTTGCAATTAGTAGGATTTCTGAAAGCATTGAGTACGAGACGAGATTGCCTGTCTTACCGAGGTCGTAATTACAAGGCAGACATCATCCCAGCTTCGGCTTAATTGACTACTTTCAGTAAAAAAAAACCAACATGTTGATTTCAGAATGTTGATGTTTTTGATTGACAACATACCATGTGCTCACTGCATGTTTCTCCGTTGCGGCATGGTCGCTGTGTTGCGTTTATACGTAAAACCTCCAGTCGGTATTTGGTGAACTGCTACGTAATTTGAAATCTCACAAAAGAGCACATTCCTTTAAAAAGACGGTGTTTTATTATATTATACCATGGCATTGTTTTACATATCAACTTATACTCCTCATAGAGTCTACTTAAACACCGTTTCCACGCAGGGAGTTAGTGTGTTTTTATGGGTAGTGTTGATGGTGAAACAGTTATCGCTACCAATAAGACGGTGCATGATCAAGCCCTAGTAACGGACATTGCCCGGCAGCACGAAGAACTACTCAGACAAACTGGCTTCTCTGAGAAATGTTACAGTGTCTCATATTACTCAGGCAGTAAGTATTTGTCGTTTGTTTTCCAGACGTAACTACTGAACGGAACTAAAAGAATTTCAAATGTTATCACGTGACATGCGGTATATTACAGTCACATTGACATACCAAACTTGGATCGTGTCCTGAGTTATGTCGCGTCAATGTCCCTACAAAATATAAAAATGTAATGTTTTTTCAGTTGTTCTGAAAGGCGGCACAAATTCGCGATTTACTCGTGTACTATATATTTTGAGTTGTCTAATAACATGAATTTTAAATCTCTCCCGTTGCGCAGCGCCAAAGCGGGAACTCATGGCGCGATGCTGTCTGTATGTATGTCTGTCGATGAGCAAACCGTGTTCTGTGTTTCATAACAAAGAACCAGTCAACCAAGTGATCAGATACAATGCAATACGGCGTGATTAATTTCTTGGTACGAAATGGCGCATGCTAACTAATTAATTTGCATATTAATTCAACATTTTGTTCCTATCTCAAAAAACCATATTACAATTCAACTATAAAGTGAATCATCGTATACATCTGCCAGGGCTGTTAGGGTTCAGTTCAAATCCCCATGAATACTAATTAGATTAATTTGTATATCAACTATACATGCTATCGCTCCACTGTCATTATGTCACTTCTAATGACACTAAAACTAAAAATATATATAAAACAATATATAGAGAACAATAATTACATTTCAATGTTTTGTTAGCTGCAAGATATAATTGAAATGCAAATATCATGGCAATGCATACAGTAACATAATATCATTTGGTACAAATATGTGCATAGTAATAAGCTGAATTTACATAATAACTACATTCATGGCCAATCACTCAAATTAGTCAAAGTTCAAAAGTCCGACGTCGTGCTGATTGGCCCAGAGCGTCTTAAACCTCAAGCCGTGGTTAAACGAAGGAATAAACCACCGTCGCAGGCGGGTATACCAATAGATATTGCACAATTCACGACATATATGCACGGGCAGCATTGAAGCAATCTCGGCCAATCATAACGACGTTTAGAGACAGGCCCCAGACTTGAATAACATACAGTAGGGATAAATCCTTCTGTCAATTAAAATCGACAACAATAATTTTGCGTTGCGAACATAGCGAATAATGAAGAACATTGTGATCATCGAGTATTTTATGCACATGAGAGTGAGAGAAAAAAAACTTAAATAAATGTGCCTTCTGTATTGTCTTTCTTGTGATCTCGGAAGTTTTTTTCGACTCGCAAAACGTAAACGTATGTCGCAAATTATCGATTGAGAAGATTAACACATCATACGTTGTCGCCAAAAACTACGCAAATAAACCACGCAACCCCGAAATACCGTGCGAATTTGCACCATCGCTCTATGTATCTATAATCATGTATAATAGTTCTGGAGCCCATTTCATTTAAAGGGCGATAGTCGTCGCGCCGCGTCCTGTTCGGCATGGGACTCATAGCGACATATACAACGCGTGTAAAATACATTGTTCTTTTCATGAAATTCGAACAAGCACTGCGCGACGACCGCCGCCCTTTAACCACAAGTAGAACGTTTATGAAGCTTTATAACATTTGAACATTGTTTTTTGTGCTATAAATGTATTTTCATGCCTTAGAATTACATTTAAAATTAAGTTGTTATAACAACTGGATATTACAAGCACTCGATATTGCACTCGCATGCGACTCGTGCATATATTAAATGTATACATTTTTCTGCGAAGGCATATACTGGGTTGCAGTATCACTCATTTCTTGTCTCAGGATTCATTTGCGCCACGAACACCCACAACGGGACCAGTGCCTGTAAAGCTATGCAATTCGGTTGACGGTTGCTATGATACAATTTACGTAGTCGATTGTTTATAGAACACCTATTTCTGTTTCTACAGATTGCTTGACACATCCTTCTCTGTAACAACCGACAGTATTTCTTATTCTACCAGCCTCACCAGGAATTTTGGTTCGCCCCTTATAATATGATTTTCGCAACAACTAACACCGATAAACAACTCGAGTATGATCTGCATTTACACGTGATCAACTCATTAGAGTGGAGTGGGTCACCTTATAAGTTTACATCCATCATCGCGTTAATTATCTCTGCTCTGAACGCAGAAATGACTCTAATGGAGTATACTCCTTTCATTGTGCATTGAAACGGAGATGGTAATCTAAAATCAATTGAAGACCACAGGATCCAAAGTAATGACATCGGAACAAAACAGTCAGATCTTTGTACTTTCCCCATTTCCAAACAGCTCGGAAATGAGTAAATGAGGTGTGTTATTTTCTGTCAAATTAAGCATCATGATATAGGCAAATGTATTTGTTTGAAATAGAGTCGGATTGTAATGGGAAATACCGCGATGTAGTATTATTTTGAAAAACAAAAACAAATTAAACGTATTTTTTAGTCAATTTTTATTTAGCAATTTACTCTTGGCGTGTGTTTTCTCATCAACACGACGTATCTACTGCTG